TGATGTTTTGCAAGATTCTATATGACATAAAAGACAGTATTGCAAACATATACACACGCGCGCACACATACATATATACATATACATACATATGCACATACATACACGCATGTATACATATATATAAATATAACATCATGAGATTACAACAATTATATAGATACATAAGATGTCATTAAAGTTTCTGTGGAGGGAATATGAAATTGGAGGGGTAAGGTTTAATAGTATGGTTGTAGTGAGTAGGATCTGGAGGTCTCAGCTGATATTATCAGTAGAATTTAATGTTTAGCACATAGTAAGGTATATTAATGTTTCCATTTCCTTATAAAGGGATCTAAGCTACTGTTTTTCCTAGCTATATATTTTTCAGTTGTACATATATCTTTTAATAACTTAAGAAATCCCTCAAGGGAAAGTCTTTGTTGTTTTATACTTGAAACAAATGAATCTTTTGGAAAGAAGTATAATATGGTTTAGTATTTTATTGTTTGAGAACATTCCAAACATGATAGTGAATTTTGTAAATGTGACATCACACTGGAGGTGGGCATTTAGAAATTGTTTTACTTTTCGCCAAAAGTTTTTAACTAAATCACAGTAAAAAAATACATGCAATATGTCTTCTGAGGTATTTTTTACAAAAAGTACAAGTATCATTATCAACTAACTTCATCTTCAATAGTTCTTTCTTTGTATAGATTATTCTGTAAATAAATCTGTACTGAAAATCTAACAGCTTACAATCATTTGTGCATTTCCTGTAAAATCTGAATACATTACTCCACATTATATCCCGCTGAAAGACAGTTTTCCAATACACTAGTACTTTAGGGGTATTGTTGTTCTTAATCAATTTATCATAGAATATCCTTGAACCTTTAATATTTGAGATCATATCTAGGTAAACTCTATTAATGTTTAATTGATTTCAGCAGAGAGTTCTGTTTCCTACAAGTTGTCTCCAGTTCATTGGCATGTTATTTAACAAATGATGATAGTCTAGGAAGGTCCCGCTTATTTTGTACCTGTTTTACCTCTTCAAAACTGAGAAATCCATTTTCATTACAAATATCGCTGACATAATGTATACCGCACACAAGATTTAAAGAAATGGTTTAACCAGAGTGGCTGAGCTAAGATTTGGTCTAAGTCATCGCTGTCAAAGGTGTGTTTTTTATAAAATATTCTCCATGCAGATAAAACATCTCTCCAATAGGAATTATCTTTGCCAGATAAGCAATCAACAGCATTAGAACCTAGAAAGTACAGTTGACTTAAGGGAAAAATGCTATTCTATATGTTTTCTTTAAGTGACATTTCAGTGATGATAATTTCGAAGTGTTAATGAAACATTCAATGTCAATCATTCTGAGGCCTCCATCTTCGTAAGTTCTACTGATATTAGACCTTTTAATCTTATCATTTTTATTATTCCATATGAATCTATATATTATTTTATTGAGTTCGTCGATGAATGTTTTTGGCGGGTTAGGAAGTGCTGAGAAAATATGTACTAGAGTAGAAATTGCTAGAGTTTTGATAACAGTGATTTTCCCGATTAGAGTCAGGTTTCTTCTTCGCCAGCTAGCAAGTAATCTATTAATATGTTCTAGGCGTTTTCTGGTGTTAATTACCCAAAGGTCTTTAAGAGAAGCATTAAGTGTTATTCCTAAGATTTCAAAGTCTCCACTGTGCCAGTCAAGATAGGAGTCATTGGCTAAAGTTATATTACTACCTATCATTGAGCCTATCCAGATAGCTTTTGTCTTGTAACGGATATTACTTCATACGTTTACACGCGCACCACCTCCTGTACAAGCTTGACAGAGAACGGTTCTCTATGAACGGTTCTATGTTCATGATAACTGTCTCTTACAGTAATAAAATCATCGCCCTAAGCCGTGGATGCATCCAGGGTATAGTGGAGAGTTATCGTAACGTATACCCTGGAGATTATCGAGGATGTCTCTCTTAGAGCACAGACGTTGGTAACTGTAACACATTGGGACGTTGGTAACTGTCATCAGACATTATTTGACGACATTTCTCATGGTTTGAATATAGCCGACTTTATAGAAGATAAACACAACACAACTCCCTAAATCTTGGTATTTTCGGAACCAGAGAAGGGATATGTCGATATTTAAGTCGTTAACCTAGCATATTATGGTCACGAATATAATTTTCTATTTATTACCGAAGTCTTTAATTGCGGAAATTACGCGATAATCTACTTACCCAACAAAGGCAGGCTCCCCGTCATCATTATATTTAGAAGGCGGCTTCTTAGAAGCAACGTGACGTCATAACATTGTTCATGATGTCATGTCACCATGATACAGTGATATTTTACCCGGTGCATATCGCCTGAAAACAAATTATTCCCGATATGTTTGCCCTCGTATGTTATAAGTATTGTTATTATCATTCTTTGAGGTTAATGCCAAAAGTTGAATTCTTTGTTGTAGTTTGAGCGGTGAAACTAAATAAATGATTTCTTTGGTCTACCCATAACAATTAAGGTGTCAACTTCCACTGTATAGCTTACAGAAAAGCAGTTTTGACTTTACTTTGATAACGAGCACATCTGATTGATTCCTTGAAGCAAATGATGCAATTCCGTATCATTTCTACATTCTATTTTAAAGCATCAATCAAATACAGCAAATGAGTAGACAGATTGCCTGCTATGTGGCAAGGAATAACCAGGCGCCAGAGATCTATGATATCCTTAGCAAATGTAACTTAAAATTCCCTCTCATAAAAATACAATAATATGTAGTAATATGATGAAGAAAATAATACGAACCAGGTTAAACTATGACAACGCAATATATGAATGTATGATCGAAACATAAATCATAATAAATCACATATGATCAAAACATAAAATTGACTTCAAATATATCCTTGCGTCAACATTGAAAATAATTCGAAAATGAAGAAGAAGAAACGTACATTTCAAAGCGTAAACAAACAATATCCTGTTATTTTGGGATATGCTATGAAGAACTTCAAAATGTAATAGAAATAACATTAAATTATTGAAAGCTATTGCTCGTAAAATATGTCCTTGCGTCAACATCGAAAATAACTCCATAATGAAAAACAATTAACTTTAATTTTCAAAACATACACAAATAATCTGGCTTTTTTAAGATGTGTCACGAATAATTTCACAATTGGTAGAATTAACATGAAATTATATAAACCATATGCTAACAAAAAATTGAAAATTAGTAATGACAAAGCGTTTGTCACAAACATAGCTATTACCCCCGCCACATGTCGATATCTGAATGTCGCAATTATCCTCTGTCTGACCCTGAAAATTATGTAAACGTTACCGAAACTGTCATCTAATGCCTTGATACAAAATGCGAACAAATTCCATCCATTAGGTTTAGAGATATCGCAAGAATACTCGCTGTGACCTTGAAAATAATCCGAAGGTCACTGAATTCGATTGGCGTTAGACGATACTCCCAACGCATCTTGGTACTACCTTTAAGCAAAACATATTAATTCTGTCTTGTATTTTCGCACTAAAAAGTTAGACATGTGCAAAACACTTTTCACTGTCAACTTAAAATGAGCACAAGTTTCCCAATCAATTGGTGTTGGGGGAATCCCGCCAATACACCTTGATATAAAATAGGATCAAAATCTATTAATACTTTCCTGAGTTTGCAGCTACCCAACTTGGCATGTGCAAAACTGTTACGCCTTCGCTGTGACCTTTAAAATGACCTCAAGGTCACTAAATTCAAGTGGTGTCGGTAAATCTCCAATCTCCAGTCAATAAACCTTGGTACCAAATTTGAACAAAATCCTTCATTTCTTTCTCGAGTTCTTTTAGTAAACAGAATGGGGAGTCATTTGAACAAGCGATTGTAGTTTTGAAATTGCTTTTTTGTGCAGTTTAATATCTAAGTTTGATTCTAACCGACCTCTACCAATCTCAAACATAGCATATTTTGTTTCCTGAAGTTTGTGGTGCATTTTATTTCAGATTTACGTTTTTTGGTAGTACCAAGTCAAGATACAAAGTCTCACAAAATGGGGATCGTGACGCTGCAACATAGCAAAACCAATTTGCTTGAGGCTGACAGATAATATGTAGAAAAATAAAACATAAAAACAGCTGCATTTGTATCATATTCTAGGTGAGGCTGACGACTATTTGAACATCCCTCGTAGTTATACCCGTTAGAACACCCACCCACCTCTCCGACTCTACATGCATGCAAGTGTGTTAGATATACCCGTTAGAAACCAGGCCCTACCTCACCCCCACTTTATATGTATACATATCAAAACCTCAAAAGATGTTTGCGAAAAGACATGATACAGAGGACAGTTTATATCGATTATATATCAGGACGAATATCATTTTCGTCATTTAGCTAATATTTGTCAATTCATTCTTGGGTTATCGCACTAACAATCTTTATATTGGCAAAACCCTCAGATTTTTGCTGTGACCTTGAAAATTATCTCAAGGTCACTCCATTTCACTTGTGTTGGTGAATCTCGCCAATATACCTTGGTACCAAATTTAAACAAAATCCATCAATTCTTTCTTGAGTTATCGCCCTAATAAGCTTATTTGATGTATGAAATGCAACGAAAAACAAACACCCGCGTATATACGAGTGATTAAAACTGTTATTACAATTTACGTAAACATTTATTACATTTTACCGCAACGAAAATTATTACAATTTACGTCAATTTTTATTACAATTTGCGTATTACAATTTACGTCAATTTTTATTACAATTTACGTTTTTATTACAATTTACGTCAAGTTTATTACAATTTGCTGCAAGTATTACAATTTGCGTTTTTATTACAATTTACGTCGTAACAAGCCTGACCACCCTATCCCGTTAGTCGCCTTTTCCGACAAGCATAGTCGCCTTTTATAGCAAGCATGGGTTACTGAAGGGCTATTCTAACCCGGGCTATTCTAACCCGGACCTTCACGGGTCGCCCCAACAGTAAATGAAAATGAATTTGTAAACCGGCATCACTACCACAGCATCAATACCCAGATCGCTTTCGATAGCGAAGACAGGATAATTGACGTTGTCGCTCGGTGGCCTGGATCAACACACGATTCACGCATATTGACAAACAGCGGTCTCTACCAGTTGTTCGACCGTAATGTTGTCCCCATGGGATGCCACCTTCTCGGTGACAGCGGTTACCCCTGTAAGAAGTGGCTACTAACCCCTTTCCTAAGGCCATTGGCAGGACCACAAACAAACTACAACAGGTATGTAAACTTCCGTGTAAAGTTGCCGATTGTGATCAGCAACATAGAGTGGTGTCCCTTGTATTTACCTCGAATAAACATTAAGCAATCGTACTCATTACACATTATAGATCACAAACGTTATTACATTTAGCCTGGATAACCGAAGCAAAATACAGTTTTCATGAAATACGAATTCTGTAATCAGGTTGTAGACATTTTATGAGTATGCTGAATATGACTAGAAATTATTTTCTTAAAACATCATAAACCACCTAAATAATCTATGTAAGTGTTACTGTATTATTAGGGTTTTTTCCGAGTTATTTAGTGAATAAGTGACAGTTATCAATGACAACACAAACAGTTTTTACTGTGCTGGAGATTTATGATATTTTATTTCATAACCCAGATCGCATAAAAGAACAAGGAGCAGTGTTGAAAGGGCCATTGGCCAATTCAAGCGCAGATTTCCTGTTCTTCATGGGGAAATCAGGTTAAAACCTGAGAAGGCTTGCAAGGTAAGAAAAATATAATCAACAACAGTTATTTCTTTAGCACTGTTTACTTGCCACATAAATAATACAAATAAATTGACAAGGTAACAAAGCTAAATGGCAATATTATTAATAAATTACAATTTTGCAAGATGTATGAATCACTGAAAATATGAAACTATATACATTTATATGCTACTATATATCACGGATATGATATGGGTTTTCATGAATTTCTATTTACTGATGCTATTGAAAATATGTAAAAGGCAATACAGTAGTTCATCATCTCAAATGTATACTGCATGGCAATGTCTATACTGACTTTTGTATCTAAATTTATTATTTTCCATTTATCACTAATTATTCCATATTTCAGGTGATCATAGCATGTGCTGTCCTTCACAACATATGCAAGGACAGAAACATTCCAGTACCAACCACAGATGGGCATGATGGATTTGGAAGGCCTGATGGGCAGAATGGAGGTCTACAAGGAATCACTACACCAGTGGCTGCACTGAGATATAGAGAGCACTTCGCCAATAAAAACTTTCCATGTAAGATGATTTTAGGATCTTCTATCATAGTGTCAGAGTTAGAACTATAAATGGTAGATTATATTAGTACATTTAATACAGACAATCCTCTCCAAAACAAAATTAAGTTTTATCACTCCTACTATTTATACATTCTACACGATAGCTTTATTTATTTGTAATATTGTATATTCCCTTATCTTCATGTGTACTATTGACAATTTAATTTCTGTTTGGCTAAAGGCCCCACAATAGTTTTTCTAACAGAATCTGTTTTATCCTTATATTAGACAAAGAATGATACACCTAATACCCAAATATGTAAATATTTCTGATTTTCAGCAAGTACATTTATGGCAGTTTAAGTTAATTCAGTTTCATGATTTTATGTTTTAGGTATTCCTTTTTCAATGTTAGGCATTCTATTTCCAGCTGCAATTTCTGTTTTAACAGAGCTTCCACTGTGTGGCATCTTGGAGCATCTGGATGGACTGCTGGCTCCTCAGGACCCATTCTGGCTCCCTCTGGCTGTGGATGGGGGTCACACATGGCTTCATAAATCTGTCTAAAAATAAAATGATAGAAATGTGCATGTAATTTTCATATAAATGTTCTTTCAATTTTAACAAGCCTGTTGTTTTGTGTTATTACAATTAGATATAAAAAAACATTAACAGTTGTTCATTACATATATTTATCATAACAGACAGTGCAGTTAAAGCATACCAAAAATACATGTATGTATGAACACATTTATGCACAAGTGAGGTGATGATATTCTAACCAAAAGGTACCTCATATCATTCATATTTACCTGTCATCGGTTGGTACCAAGTCAAGTACCTGCAGCATTGTTGAGTCGACTGACCCAGGCACACCTGTCAGTGCCACATTGTCCTGGCCTAAAATGTCAATGACAGCATCGGTCACTGGGCTGATTGATGTTGGTGCTGGTCCACCTCCTGCATTAAAATTTAATCACAATCATTACTTTGATTTCTTTTATTTAAAATAACTTCATATATATATATGTTCATTGCAATAGGACAATCACTATTCCATTCAGGATCACATTTTTTAAATATATACCCTTTATACAAGAAATACAACAACAAAAAACACAGGGACGATTGTTACTGATTATTGCTCCATCAGTAATAACTTATTTGTTAAGACAATTGACAGAAGACTGATAGATATCATTTAATACCCGTGACTCATATAGAGGATATATGAAATGAAGAAAAGTACTTGCCTGTTCCTCTAGTCATTCTGCTGAACTCAGAATACTTCTGTTTTGATTGACTCTTTATGTTCTTCCACTTTTTCTCTACCTCTTCTTTAGATCTGGGATGCATACCAGCGGAGTTGATGGTTGCTGTAATAACCTGTTGAGTTGAATGAAAACTGTCAACCTTTCTTATGATATACATATGTTACTATCTGCTTATGAATTACTATGTCATGACCATAACTTGTTAGAAATCAACTATATGTATTATGATTGTGGACAAATAAGAGGCAGAGCATTTGGGAGAAAGGATATTTTTATAAAATAGTATTTCCTAATTTTTTTTATAAAAAGTAGGATTTCCTATTTTTTTAATTTTCTATATATTCTTGAAATCAATTGTTCTAAAATTGTTTACACTTATGATGATAATACCTTGAATAGGTATCACTCAAAGCTTTCATATTTAGTCATATATTTATAAACAAGGATTTCCTAAAAAAAATTATAAAGTAGGATTTCCTATTTTTTAAAATTTTCCATTGTTAGTAAACAAAACACAGGAAATTTTACAAATATTCCTGACACTACATGCTGTAGCCTCATCAAACTATTTATTTGCATGAGGTCATGTTCGCTTAAAAAACTTTTTCGTTCATACATGTTCCTTTCCTTCGTCGTGTGACCTCGGCTAATCATCACCTACACCTACTACATTTTTCCAGTGTTTGGTGCATTTTGGGCTGTTTCATAGGCGTACCAATGTAATTCAGAAAAGAGAACAGAAAATCGTACTTATTCAAAACAAATAAAAACTATGTGTGGCACGTAGTCTAAGACATTTCTGTATTCTTGACTACACCTTGACAGTCGGACCCAATGTTTACATTACCTGCCACGCCTCTTGTCGCTTCGCCGACGTCACGCCCGGACCAAACTTCCCCTTCCAACACTCTGGCGTTTGTTTTCACGAGTTCTGCCAAAAGCAGGACCTCCTCTTTAGTCCAATTAGGTTTTCTCTTCTTTATCTCAGACTCCGACATCTTTTTCACAGTGTATTACCGCGGTATCTCAATGTGTCGTCTGCCGTAAATAGCAAAAGGGAGATCCCAACGAAAGCCATTTTCACACCTTTTTATATAAGAGTTCCGCCGGAAGTCTAAAAATAACTCGGATTCACCCTAGTGATCACGCGGGTATGCACTACGAAAAAAAACTTAGTTTGTCTTTGGAAACTTAGCTAAGTTTCTGACTTAGTAGCTTTATGAATAGCATCTTAAGTCTCAGACTTAGCTAAGTCAGTTTTAAAGAACTTAAGTTTGGACTTAGGAAAAATCTTAGTTTCTTTATGAATACCGCCCCAGGTTCATACAATATTTATTCAGCTAATGGTTTAAACATTTTTATTCATAACACCGCTCCCATACAACATATAATACAAAATTTAAGTGAAGCATGTGTCGTCATCGGAAGTGACTATCATATAAATAATACATGTGTACATATTACATCAAATACAAGTACCACTATCATCCAAGTAAACATAAATATATAATTCATTATTCAGCTAATTACATAGATAGATAGATACATCATATACACTATATAGTAAGTGAATTAAGAAGTATAATTGACAACTTAATGAAAGTACAGTACTTTAATATCGGGAGTCAACATTTCCTCTTCTTCAGTATATTTACAAAACATGTTTTGCCACCCAGCCTGCTGCACGAACAAATTCAATGGGCGACTTCTGTTGTCTCCGGAGCTGATCCTGCAAACGGTGGGGACGAGCATCTATCTCTCTGTACATCCTTTTCCTGGGTCGTGCAGGAGCTCCATGGTCCAGCTGGGCAATCCGTCTCCTGTTCATTGCCTCGATGCTCTTGATCAGCTCGATGAATTCAAAGATATTAGGGTGACTGTGCCTGATGCTCTGATTGAGTGAGTGATGAAAGCCTTCAAGATGATTATTTGTTCGTGGGCCGCCTGTTTCGGAATGGTTCCACACAGGGATGTGGAAACATGCGTCATCGTCAACCCACACACTCACAACGTAGTCCTTGAATGCCTCACAGCCTCGGATGTCTGGTGCATGGTTTATGGCCTCCAACCCAGTGTCTTGGACAAATTCAGGAGGTAAAAAGGGAAGGGCTACAGCAGATCTAAACAGATCAGAAATGAGTGAGTGAGTTATTATTTAACGTCACATCGGCAATATTGCAGCCATATCGTGACGAGAACATGTTTGATTATGAAGTGGAATATATGTATATAATAAAAACCTGTCGACAAAGGACAGCAAAACAACTAGAATATCACAATTAGAATTAAAACCAGCGTGGAAAGTTTAAAACTAATAGTACTATTGAGACAATACAATATAAAAACAGGCTAGAGATCGCCAACAACAGAAGGTAGATCCCCATACTAGGGACCATGGGGACTTACAGTACCTTTGCTACCTGCATGGACCTTAGCTGGATTTATAACATCCCTTCAGCCGCTGGCGATTGTAGGAGAATTTAGCCGGAAGTTAAAAGAACAAAAATACTACGATTAAAATGTGGTAAATTTACATCTTACTTTGAAAGTTTGGGGACTTACGTACCCTCTCAGGAGGACAATGGTTTTACGATACTTTAACCCCCTTTGAGGGCACAGCCACTAACAATCTAATTTACTCATCTAAACTACCAATAATAAAATATCTTGGACATCAATGTACAACTTCTAAATGCCACTGAAAGACATTATTTACAAACTATTCATCAAAATTTATCTAGCAATTCTATTTCTTTTAAAAATTCAATGATTAAATGATAATTAACACTAAAAAGATCCTTCACAAACAGGTCAGAAAAGTCCTCATTCTCTTTGTACGCTATCACAAGCCCTAGGTCCTGGGAGTCTCCATTATAGGTTTATTTCAAAGAGTAGTCAAACTGGGAGTAATTAGCTATACAGGTACAGTACATTATTAAGTGTAGGGGTGCTCCATTATATGTTTATGTTCGTGAGTAGTCATACTGGGAGTAGTCATAATGGGAAGATACCGAATTAAACCACCCCTGGCGACCCCGTCAGTACCTGGAGCCACATTTGCTATTTTAAGATGCTTCGATGAAAGATCAAAGGCGCCGACAGTACTTTATCTCACGATAATGTACACTTTTTGCATTACGTCACACTGTATTTGCGTCACTGCGCCATTCTAGTCTGCCCCCTCGTAATAAAACGTACTCTTGGCAACCGACGTCCCGATGCACGTCAGTTGTCGCCAACAGACCATATTTTCAGTTTATTTCACCTTTCGGAACTATTAAAATGTCGCAAAAGAAGTTATATTGTGCATTTATCGATTTTTCCAAAAAGCATTTGATACCGTCTGGAGATCAGCACTCTGAAAAAAATAAAACGTTTACAAAATATTATATCTACGAATCGCTTTAAGGGTATTTTTAACTTTAAGATCATGTGTTTGTAACGGCGATAATTATTCTAATTTCTTTTTATGTAAACAAGGTGTCCTCCAAGGAGAGACCTTGTCTCCAATTTTGTTTTCACTATTTCTTAATGATCTTGAAGATGCTTTTGTTTCAGATTCATGTTTTGGTTTACAACTTAAACCCGGTGATTTCCACAACCGCTTAGATGCGCTCATTGCACTTTTTGCCTTGCTATATGCTGATGATACCGTCTTTATGTCCTCAGACCCTTGTAATTTGCAACATATGTTAGATTCATTTCATAATTATTGTAAAAAATGAAAGCTTACAATTGATAATAACAAATCCAAATCCAAAATTCTTATTTTTTGGTGGATCCCAAAAAGTAGTTTCAATATTGGAGATACTATCCTGGAAAATGTAGATTATTATCCCCATCTTGGCATCACACTACAAAAGAATAGTATATTTACTAAAACCAAACGTATACTGGTGGAAAAGGCAACAAAAGCAATGTTCTTTGTATTACGCCAAGGTAGAAAACTTAAACTTTCCATTGATTGTCATTTGAAATTGGGGCCTAGTGGTTAAAGCGTTCCCTCGTCAGGCCTAGGACCCGGGTTCAATTCCCCACATGGGTACAGTGTGTGAAGCCCATTTCTGGTGTCCTCCGCCGTGATGTTGCTGGAAAATTGCTAAATACGGCGTAAAACTTAAACTCACTCACTCACTCATTTGAAATTGTTTGATTGTATGGTCACCCCGATTCTTTCATATGGATGTGAGGTCTGGGGTTTTGAAAATACTTGTTGCTTTGAAAATGTTTATCTACGCTTTCTCAAATATTTAGTATGAATCAGGA